TTTGTTTGGGACTTTGGAGGAAGATCTTACATTGGCAAGATACTATGGTAGCTAGCTGTGGAATGCAAATACTGATTGAAAGGTTGTGTTTTGAGCTGTAGAGATACTGTCTTAGTGTTTTGTGACTGAAGTTTGAGGTGCTTTTGGCTATGAAGTGTAAGTATCATTTGCTTTGTCTTGTGAAGTTGTAATTGATAGCTGGATCATCTTCCATATTGTGATTCTGAAAAGACAATTATATGAGAAAGGGGGAATTTTTCTGATGTAGTACTTTGTCTTTTGCTTATGTTGGTTTGAGTTAAAATTCTGATACGAACATAATTGTTAGGAGTTATCGACAGGTCTCGAATGATCGTGCTAGCATATATAGTCGAAATTCAGACTAATCGAGCTTTTAACTTTGTTTGCAATTACAGTATTAGTGTGCATTTCTCAAACACATCCTAAATGTTGCATGTTCTTTTACCTCAAAGTTTATTGCTCTGAGATATCAGCAACTTAACATCTGATAGTACTCTTGTGCATTTAGTAATGAGAAATTAAATGTTGAAGCTTACTTATGTTAAATGCTGGCAGTACAAAGACTGTTGTTTTATGCTAGAACTATATGCTATAAGCCTATAACTGCTGAGCTTAAGCTGTGTTTTCTTCATGGTGTTTGTGGGATTTTCCTTAAAATTATTGGGAAATACTACGGTCCCATTACGGAACCATTCCGTCGGGATATATAATCGTTAGATCAACTATCCGCGACGGTTATATGATGATCTAACAGTTACAAATCTTGACGGGGTGGTTCCGTAACGGGCCGGCAACATCTCCCTTAATTATTATTATTATTATTATTATTATTATTATTATTATTATTATTATTATTATTATTATTATTATTATTATTATTATTATTTATTATTATTATTATTATTTGGTTCATTTTTTTGTGCATGTAGAATATGCAAATGGTTAAGTGTGATTTTGGGTCATACATTAAAAAACATACAATAATGTAACCATTAGCAAGAATTTTTTTTTTTTGGAATAGAACGGCAAAGCCGATACAAGCTAAAAAAAGAAGAAAAAAGAAAAGCAGAAAGAGCAATAAGAGAAGAGATACAAAAACAACAGAGAAGGCAACGAGAAAAGAAGCACAAAAGATTATAAGCGCGGGTAAGGAAACATAGCTGCGTCCTTAGCCAACGGAGTGAGAAGATCGTCCGGGGGAAAAGCCCAAGAAGTGAAGAAAGCTTCCTCCTTGGATCCTCTCCTTGCCAAGCGATCAGCAACGGAATTTCCCTCCCTCCAAATGTGGGAAAACCGTAAATTTGCGATCGAGCTAATCTTATCCCTGATGTTCATGATCAGCCCCCCCATAACATGATTAGGAACTGTTGCCGTGTTAATCAACCTGAGGGCCTCTTGCGAGTCCGAGTAGCAGGTAAGAGTTGTACACCCCCGAGCCACTGCTAAAGTTAGCCCTTCGAGAATGGCAATCACCTCGGCCAACGTATTGTCTGCAATGCCAATGTTCCCTGAAATGCCCTCAATCCACACCCCCTCATGAGTGCGCAAGACAGCTCCAAAGCCGAAAGGACCCAGATTACCCATGGACGAACCGTCCGTATGCAAGATCATACCCGTACAATAAAAGGGATTCCATGTTACTGTTTTCGGCATAATGTCATGGCTAACCCCATCCATGAGCCTATCTGCCCGCAACCGTGCATCCTTCCACCATTGGAAAAATGAAAGAATTTCCTTAACTACAGCAAAGGGAGAATTAGGAGGATTCCCGAACACCCTGTTATTACGT